TTTAGGATCTGTTAAGGGAGGTTTACATGGGTGTTCTCTAGTGGGAATGCAAGCAGCCCAAGGCACGCTGCAGTGTCCCTGAGTTTCTCTTTTGCCCCCCTCTTTGGTAGTGCTCCAGCGCCATTTTGAGCACTCTGCCACTGCTGCATCATCCTTGATTTTCTTAGTCATGGTGAGAATGACCAGTGGACACAGCAGGTTCACTCCTGAGAAAAGTAATAGTGTAACCACTTCACAGAATGGTGGGTCCAGGTTTGTATGTGCACATGATACTGAAATTATTATTGGATCAGGGAGTTGCTGCAGAAACATCCTCTCACGTCTTTGTCCAGACCACACTCCCCTCAACTACCTAAGGTTTATGTAAAATCAAAACTTTTTTTGTTATTTTAGATGGATTAGGTGAATATGTAAAAGCCCTGTCAGTTTTTTCATCTGTGTTATCTGTGTCCCATTGGAGAACATTACCTCTTCACCTTGTCCCACAGACACAACAGGAAGTAAAAGCAAAGGTCTAACTTTAAAAAGGGAAATCCTCAGTTGTCACAAAAACAAGTTTCCCAAATGAAAGATGTCACCTCTATTCTTGTTCAGGTGACAACTCAAATTTTTGGATTTTTCTTTGCTTTTAATCCCAGGGACAGCAGTCAGTGTGACACATAATGAATGCATTCTGCCTAACAGGTATAACTCTTACATGTTTTGTCTTAAATAAAAACTTTAACTTGGTTTTACACTTAATGGAGGTTGTCAATGTAAAGAAACATATTGCTATGTCAAGGGTTTCTGCTATGCTATGTTAGTGTTTTTTGGGTTATTGGAATTCAGACCACTCTCATCTCATGACCATTGTTCCAATTTGAGAAACAAACTGAGTTTCAAAAAGTATGATCTATATATAACCTGTTAAGACAGGGCTCAACAAATCCAAGGGGCCAGGTTGCCATGGTGACCAGAAACAGTGTCCCATTGCCTGGGTCCCTGCAAGCCCACCCACCGCCTGCAGGCCCACCATCAGGGTGTACAGCCCATATACGGGTACAGGGTACAGGAATGCTGAGGAGCCCGGACCATGGGCACCAGCCAGGGCCATCTTTAATGCGGGGCAGCTGCTGTCAGAGTAAACCAGCTGCCAGGATGCAGAGGAGGGTGCAGTGGTGGGCAGATCCCAGGTGTGTGCCCACTATCAGGCAAGCTCTGGTCAGGAACAGCAGAATGGGCCAGGCTATGTGGGAGGGAGGCCATTGGGGTACAAGCGGAGGACCCTGTGGAGGAAGAAGAGAAGAAGGTCAGGGTGGAGGAGGCCCCCTCCTCTTTCTTTCAGCTGCAGCCAGAGATCCTGGTGGAGATGGGGCACAGGCTCAGCTACCCCTCCTGGCGCCAGATCCTCTCCACTGAGACCATCTGGAGGAGCTGCTGCTAGACAGGTGGGAGCTGGGAGGACTGGTGCTTGCCAAGGTGTGTGACACTGCCCCCCACCTGTCCTGCTGCCCCCCTCCTGTGATGCTGCCCCCCCCCCACCTTTCCTGCTGCCCCCCTCCCATGACACTTTCCCCTCCTGTCCTGTTGCCCCCACCTGTCCTGCTACCCCCCTCCTGTAACACTTGTCCCTCCTCTCCCGCTGCTACCCTCTTGTTCTGCTGCCCCCTCTTGTCCCACTGCCCCCCTCCAGTTATGCTCCCCCCTTTTGTTCCATTGCCCCCGACCTGTCACTTAACTTTTTTAGCAGGCTCCTAGATTCAGAGCAAAATTGTCAAGCCTTGTGTTATGAGTTACAATGTAAACTATGGGAAGTTATTGATGCCTTAACAGAAGATTCACACAACTTTCACTCAAGAGTCACATATGTTGCTAATTGGATTCAATTGGAAAATGTGGTAAATCTGGGAAAATTGTGTTAATCATGTAAAAACCTTTACATATAGGCCACTATGAGTCACATATGACTTAAGAGCTGAATTATAAAAAGCCTTTCTTTTCATTATCTATGGAGAGTCTTTCACAGCACAGATACAACATTTTTGTATCTCCGTCCCAGGTAAAATATTCTGGCACAACACTGTTGGTATAGCAAGTGAGAGACAGAGCTCTTATCACCTGTCACTTTCAGTGAGACATCTGGCTGTCTATGACACATATCTCTCAACTTGCTGAAACGAGAAAAAGGTACACCTTTTATGCAAGCAAAGTATGTATGTGTATATTAAGTATGTAAACAAAGAACACACCCCTGCCCCTAGTTATTTAAAGTACAAAGAACTAATAGGTAAAAAAAATGATTAATTAAAGTCAATTTTTTTGTGTTTGTTAGTGGTACATACAGTAGGTAGTCTGCTGTTAAGCTTTAACCACTCATCCATATACAGATAAAAATTATATATCACAAATTATTTAAATTGAATATCATATAAACTTACATTTGCATTAAAAGTTTTAGCAGTTGATGATCTCTCTTGTTTCCTTAATGTAATAAAACACAGCCACTGCTGAGTCAGATCTATAGCTTTGCAATCAGTGTAGTTCATGCCCCTACTGATTGGAGAGCTCTAGCTTTGTCTTATCAATGGACATGTTTGACCTTCTCTGGAGGTGGCCAGTCCTCAATGATGCAGAGAGCTTTGCTAACATGATGACATCAGTGCTGCTTTCTGCGTCACCACACTTTGAGCTTAGGGCACTGTGGTGAAGTCTCTTCAGGGAGCAGGCCCACAACACCCTGCACTTACAGTATGTCCTCAGTCTTCTGGGTCCTATGATGCTGCACATTATTCAGCCTGAAAGACTGAAGACAGAATAGGAAGGTGAGTGTTTGCAGCCAGAGCTGATTTTTTTTGTTTTCTACCTTTGCCGGAAGATGGTTTAGAAAATTGTTTGGAGTTGGCTTTAAAAGTGTTCAAGCTACTGGAGCTACATTTTAACCTTTATTTGGTTTCAGAGCCCACAAACTGTATAATTATTTTAAGTGACTATTATCTTTACTGTGCATACAAGTTGATGCCACTGTTTCTCTGGGATTTGTCCATACAGCTCTTTTTATTTTAGAGGCTTTTTAGTAGACCCTACAGCTCACATCAAGGAGAAGACTGCTAGGACATCTAGATCAAGTCGAGTTTCACCAACATGCTAAACATTGTTATTTACTCTCTGGCTATGATGCCAAATCTGTTAAGAAATGGTTATAAATTGCTACTAGTTAAAGAGCAGAGTAATGAACGCATCTTAAGGTACCCATGCACACATTATACAACTAGGTAAACTCAGAGGGGTTGATTTACTAAAGGTAAATACACTGTTCACGTTGCATTGAAATTTTCTCCAGAGCTTGGTGAATGTGGTGAAGCTTCACTTTGCAAAGAATACCCAATTACATGCAACAAAAACAGCATTTTTGCTTGCACTTTATTGGTTGATGGAAGTCATAAGAGCTTCACCTCATTCACTAAGCTGCGGGGATAATTCCCTTGCAAAATGCAACTTCCCTTGAAAAGTGAGCAGCCTATTTGCCTATTTGTCCTAGATTGTAAGCTCTAAGGAGCAGGGCCCTCGAACCCCTCGTGTAGTTTATTGTAGTGTTACTGTACTGTCTCATGGATTGTCTCCCGATGTAATGTACAGCGCTGAGCAAACTGTTGGCGCTATATAAATACTGTGTAATAATAATAATAATAGTAAACCAACCAGCACTAAGTCTATTTATCATTTGTTAAAGTTATGATATAGCTAGATTGCATTTCAATGTATTTAATGTGATTTGTAGGCAGCAGTTTGCAAGAAATGTGTTCATTGTACGCATTTGGAAAAGACATGTTTACAAGCATATTGTAACTTTAGTTTATGTGATTGCATTGCAGTTTTTCAGAACTATTCACAGAAGTAAATTCGGTTTTGGATTGAAACACAAAGCTGATTCTGTCAGTTTTGCTAGTTTGCTGTCAGCTAACCGTTAGTAGGACAGCATTATTGTAGTAAGGCAGACTTGCCAAACCTTGGCAGTCCCTAATTTTTGTAATTATAAATAAAACATTTTTCATGCTTACTGTTTGGCTCCAATAAAAAAAGGAATTTTAATGTCATAGCATGGAACAAGATAAACACCAGGTACAGGAAGAATAACATTTAAAGTGAAATAAAAAATTAAAAATGATGCAGCGCAATATCAAATGTTACAAAACATACATTAAAATATAAAATAATAGACTTCTAATATTTCACCATATGTGATGCCAACCAAAAATTTTTATCATTGTCATTTCTTTATCATTGTGCTCTGTCACTCTTTTTGATAATCCACAGAGTGTGTCCAATCCGCAACAAATATCGCCAATCCAGTATAAACTTCACCATATACCATGCAATCCTTCCACCTTCACTCCAATGCTCTAACCTTATTATTTCCCTAAAAGATTTAGGTCTAATGCTCCTTCCCCTTTAACTGGGGTCTTTGGTATCACAAATGGTCTTCCGTTTAAGGATCACCCTTTTCTCAATCTGCATCCATCCAGCTAATTCTGCAGTTCTCATTGATGTTATTGCGGTTACCATCGTACTGTAGCCAGAAGCTTTCCATATTGCTTACAATTACGGTGGGTTACCATGACAATGTAAACCAACGTGCAGAGATAAATGTGGCTCAGTGTCACAGTGATCCATCCCCTTGATGAAGTCACGTGGTATGGTGACACAACGCATAGCGAGGAGACGATGATGTCCCACTGCATTACCTGGAAGTGAGTGCAACTTTATTGTGTAAAGTCTGCAAAGCAGGGGTCTCCAAACTTTCTAAGCAAAGGGCTAGTTTACTGTCCATCAGCCTTTAGGGAGCTGGATGTGGGTATCAGTGGGAGGAATAGTGCCCTATTGTTGGTGTCAATGGGAGGAATGGTACCCCATCGTTGGTGTCAGTGTGCCCAATTGTTGGTGTCAGTGGGAGGAACTGGGCCAAGGGCCAGATAAAGGCAAGCAAAGGGCCGCAGTTTGAAGACCATTGCTGTAAAGTCTGTAAAGTCTTAATCTCCCTGGAGGTATTCCCGAGTGGAACTCGGGGTAAAGTTTCAGCACCTGTCAGGGATCCAGGTATGACCAAAGATGTGTGGACCGACAGAGGGAAACGCAGACTTCAGGTATAGTTTAAACAATACAATTTATTAAAGGCTAAACAATACATAAACGCAGTGCAAGGCTAAACATAAACACAGTGCAAACAAAACCAAACCTCCAACAGATAACAATATTTACAACACCAAACGTAGTTGAGCAGGCCGGGTCGGTAGCTAATGGGCAGACAAGGTACAAGGAGCAGGCAGGAGAGTGTGGTCAGGAGTAGCCAAGGTCGGTACAGGTAGAGTTCATGCGGAGTCAGGATCAAAGCAGAGAGTCAAGCAGGCAGGATACAGGATCAGGATACAGGGCACAAGGGAGCAATACACCAAGGCACTGATCACAGGCCTGATCCTGCTTAAATACACCTACTGCAATCAGCCTCAGGTGATGGCTTGATTGCAGGAGTGAAATTCTGGCTGCTGATAGCACCCGCTGGCCAGCCTTGGTACTGCAGCCCACAAGGCAGGTGAGTCCCACCACCATTGGCAAGTCCATTCTTGACAGCACCACAAGTGGTAACCCCGAGCTACAATCGGGAATACCTTGCAGCGCTGCTCTGGGATCTCTTCTTCACTTAACTTGTCCTGCGCTCCTGCAATGTCCTCCGGTCGATGCCGGCATCTGTCTTCCGGGTTCCGTTCCCTGCGATGTCAGGACGTACGGGGACGGAACTGGCGGGAAATTTGAGAATTGTAGAAGTGACATTCACTAAATTCACTAAAATCACATAGTAAAACATTACTGTATCAAACCATTTCACATACATTTTGTCCCTAGTTCTTTGTCCTGTGCCCTGCGTGCAATTTTACTGTTCTTTCTGCCTGGAAACTGAGAAAAGTCCATGGTGTCCAAAAAGCGTCCCTTAAGGTCAAAAGTGGTTTTAGACCAGCTAGAGAACAGCAATAGTAAATCAGAACCACGTGCAGAATTGAGTGATAATGATTCGTGGGGAAATTCATCATCAGGCACTGAAAACGATTTTGCGACTTTGCTCAGTGATGTGCGAACTTGGCGCTCTATTTCAAATTTCAGTGTTTTTGGTTTGATTATCTTATTGAATTAAATGTATTATTATTATTATTATTATTATTATTTTTTATGATTATTTATTAAATTATAATTGATGATTTTGTGTTTCAAATTTTAACATACCCAGAATGTTTACTAGACTCTTGTTCGGACAGATTTCAGTGAGTTATTCCTAAAAATTACAGGCCTACAAATAAAAAAACAACATATTTCCATGCAAAAAAATGTACCTCTTTGAGCACAGAAATATGGACATAATCATACCGCTAGGGAGGCTACGGGGGCAGTGCATGTGATTTCTGTGTCCACCAGTTTAGTGCACAAAACAATGTGAGTCTTTATTTCAGAGAATGGTTTTAATAAAAGATAGTAATTAAGGTAGGAAGCACTATGATTATCTATTTGTTGGATCTTACCTATGTACCTACCTATGGAATTACCTGGATGGATGCTAACTGAGAAAAGGGTGATCCTTTGAGGGAAGACCATTCGTGATACCAAAGACCCCATTTAAAGGGGAAGAAGCATTAGACCTAAATCTTTTAGGTCAAATAATAAGCATTGGAGTGAAGGTGGAGGGCACGGTACAGTATATGGTGAAGTTGGTGCTACATTGGCGATATTTGTTGCAGATTGGATTCTGTAGATTAGGGACAGAGCACAATGATAAAGAAAATACACTGATATATATTTGGATTTGCATGATATATGGTAAAATATTAGAAGTTTATTGTTTTATATGAAGAGAATTGTATAAAATGGAAAATTTGTAAGATTTGATACTGCATGGCACTGTTTTTCATTCTTATTTCCCTGTTAGCATATGTGGCAGCACATATAGTGTGGACAGCATTGACACATTTATATGGGAGAATTGCAAACATTTTTGGATTGCAAAAGAGTATTTTTTGTCACTAACATTTAAAGTGGTTCTAAAGATAAAACATTTGTTACCTTAATGCATTTCCATGAATTAAAGTGATACTAAACTTAAAAAGGTTTTTTTACCTTAATGCATTGCTCGCATTAGGGTAAAAAATGTTTTTAAAGGATAAGTTCACCTTTTGACCAAAAATAATAAATGCACATATTTTTTGCAGGTAAAAAAAATATGCATTTATTATTTTTGGTTGCAGGACCCTGGAAAGCATTGCACCAGCGATCAGTAGATCACTGATGCCATGCAGGTCTCCTGCAGATCTGTCAGTATATCTGCTTGCCCTGCAGGATGTATGGGCAAGCAGGTATACTGACAAGAAGAATCAATGAACTACCACGGCACTCCACAGCACCATGGTAGTTCATTGAGAACTACAAGCCGATAGCTGCTAAGACTGTCGGGACTTGTAGTTTCTCATTCACAGGGGGACCCCAGAAGAGGAGGTTCAGGGCTGCTCTGTGCAACACCAGCTGAGTATAAAATGTTTATTACTTTAATTTAAAACAATTCCTTTAGAACAGCTTTAAAAAAAAAAATGACACTTGTGTCTTGGGATAAATATGTGAAATGAATGTTTCTAGTAAAAATTTTGACATTTTTTTTCCATTTAAAAGGAAATTCAAGGTACAATTTTCTGTATTGCTCTTCCTGCTTCTGGTTACAAGAGGATGGATATTAGGGATTTTTAAGAACTCAGTTGCTTATTCAAAGGCCGAAATATAGTATACTGCAATGTAAGATCATTACATATTTTGCACTGAACACATATGCAGAGTGGGTTTTGCAACAAACACAATTCAGTAACGTTTGGCGAACTGTAGATCAGAAAATCACTTTAGGGGTTCCCCGAGATCTTAAACTATTTTTTAAGATTTCCTTCAGGGCAAAAGGTTGCAAAAGCCTGTTTTAGTGATGGGGTGAGAAACTGACTGTCTTTCTGTAGGCACACTATTAATACATGAGGTCTCAAGCAGTATGTTTATGAAAACTTTAGCACTTTTTAGAACCATGATTGACCAATCTCAAGGAAAAAATCAGACAGATTCATTGCTAATATCCATCAAGTTATGGAAGGATCTTTGTACAGTCAGCTCATACCTTCACTTCATGGTACCATGTGTCGTCTTTGGGCAGCTGTTTTGTGTTTTTCCAAACCTGCCCTAATTTGGTATGGACATGCATGACTAAAGTGTACTTTGATTAGGTCTTTCCCCATAATGACTTGCCATTTACCAATTTCAACACTCTGGAAGTAAAGTATGTTTTCACCTGCATTAATCTGCCAGGTAAACTTTAAAGATACCATCTGATTTGTTCTGCTTGAAAGAAACAGTAAACATGACGGCATTATCTTGTGATCATCATGGCACATTATGGAAAGTTAGCTTCATGATTAACAATACAACTTCTTATATTTCCAAATGACTGTCATACTATCTTACCACATGTTAGGTATGTTTATTTAGTATTATATGCACTAAAGGTTGCAATTTATATAAATTGACCAAAGCTCTACCACTGTAGTTCAGATCACTGACTGGTGTTTCTACCGAAGACTCATACTATAGGTCATTCAGAAATGAAGATGATTTTAGCAGCCCTAGTGGTAGCTGCCATCTGCTGTTTTAGTAAGTACCAACTGGGTAACTTTATTGGCGTTTTTTAAATGCAACTTACAAACAATGTAATTCAAATGACCAAGTATTATGATAAATACACTTGCTTTGCAGTGCTGGTGATCTGGCATCTATATGCATGGTGTTTGTATGTTTACCCATGTTTCTGTCATTTTTTTCTGGGTGCTTCAATTTCTACCCATAAGCCAAAAATATATAGGCAGGTTAACTACTTATAATCCAATTTGGCCCAAATATGTGTATCTATGACTGCAGAAAGAATCTTCAGGGGCAGTGGCTGCCTGTAAATAACTATTTATGGCAGAATTTTTAAGGGCTATAATAAAATGAATAATATAACTCATGGAATTAAATTTTTTATTGTAGGCGATTAACAAAAACCAGACACTTCCATAAGATGTATATCTCACATGATAATTGGCAGTTATCTCCTTTTTTAACTATTATACAATGCTGCTAAAAGTTGTATCTGACCATCCTAAGTCTTGTGAAAAATGGTTACTTCCATCTATGCAGTGAGATTCCTATATAGGCAATTATAATGATTTGCTTGAAAATTGCTTGAGCTAGATCCTCTTTGTCTTTATTTGCAGTAATTATATATTCTAAAATACAGAAAACACATTCTAAAACACAGAGAGACCTAAAACGTGTAACCAGTCATGATGTCATGTTAATCACAACAGAATGCTTTTTGCCTATTTGAAACAGATAATCTGAGGTCAAAGGGATTATTTTGTTAAATATAATATAGAGTCCTTTTGTAGTAAAGTTTATCACCAAAATTTTACTTTATTCTGTATTATTTAAATAAACTAAGGGTACAATTGGAATTAAAATTGAGAAGTATGGAATAATGACTGTGGTCAGTTCCGATGGACTGATGCTTATAACATGATCTAAAGGCATGCTATAGCTACATTTTATAATATTGACAGGGAGGCCACCTTAGCAAGCCTTAGGTGGACTTTTGGGGCCATTAGGTTTCATTGCAGCTTGATGAATTACAAACTATGTTTGGGAAAACTAGACTGCATATGGTTGAGCAGTAAAAATACAGTAGAAAAAGGACAGACACTGGTGAAAATTACAAATAGAGTCTCACAATGGTACTGTGACATTCTTTTCTTTTATGAATCTCTTGTACTGTAAAAAAAGATGTGCTTTAAAATGTGCTATTGTAAAAAAAAAAAAAAAAAAAACTAGTTTATTTTACCTTTCTTTTTAAGGACAACCTTGTTTTCCACTGATAAGCATTTATGTTGCAGGGCAGTACTAATAAAATGTATTTCATTGCTAAGCTAGGCCCACAGTTGTAGCTTATAGTAATATGAACTATAACTAGAAGTTTTATTATTACACTAACAAGCTAAATTTATTGCCTTCTTTAAAACCATATTTAATGTACTCCAGGCCCTGGCGCCTCATTTTACATTCCTGATGCTAACAGTTATGAAGAAGACTCTGCAGGAAAGTTTAGTTGCCTGGCAAAGTTAGAGGTAAGTTATAGATTAAAGGACTTTGATTGAAACTAATTACATATAAACTTTGTGGGAATGAAGCCTAGAATGCTGGTTTACTAAAGGCGAAGGAATTTGCATTCTGCAAGAGAATTTTCACTTAGCTTGTGACTGAAGCTCTGGTGACTTCCATCATCCAGTCATGTGCAAGCACACACAGTGTGTTCTTTTATTTTCCTTGCACATTTTGGGTATTTTTTTTGCAAAATGAAGGTTCATCTCAATCACTAAGCTAAGAGAAGATTCCCCTACAAAGTGAAAATTCCTTTGCAAAGTGAACAGTCCATTTGTTTTCAGTAAATCAGCCCCTTGATGTAGCAATTGCTAGAAATCTCTCTGTTGCTTTTTTCTGTAAATTCTTGCAGTGCCTAATTTTCTCCAGTCAACTGAAATGTTCCAAAAGTGAAATAGGTTGGTGGGATAAGGATGCTTTTTAATCCTCCAGTACGTGCAGAATAAAGCAACCAATTGTATTAAGGGCATCATATTTTCTAAACGTCTTCTTACATTGTTTAAACATCCCTTTGAACAGAAGTAAGGTGTTAAATACTGTATTCAACTGCTTAATATTTCTTTCCCATTACTTTTTAGGAAGAAAACAATGTAGATGCAAAATTGGTACTTATCAAATTCCTGTGCA